TGGCCACTTTTTTCCTCCAATTATTTCTGGGAAAATTATAATTCACAATCACTTGGAATAGAATTCATTGCTCAACATGGCATCTGGCATCTGGTAGGAAGTTCTGGGGAAAAAAAAACCATTAAGTAGCATTAGAGTGCCACCTATTAAATTCCTCTGGTCCAGTTTAAATACACCTCTTTCATGTTGTCTTGTCAGGCAGCAATGGTTTCCTCTTCCCTCCCTTTACATTCCTATAATAGCTATCTTTATTGAATGCTTATTAATTGTTCCCAGGTCATATAGCTGAAAATTGGCAAATCTAGAATCCAGCTATACTGGGTTAAATAGTGTCTTCCCAAAATCCACGTCCACTGGAACATTGGAACATGACTGTATTTGAAAATAACGTCCTTACAGATGCCTTCGAGTTAAGATAATGTCATACTAGATTAGAGTGGGCTCTGATCCAGTGATTAGTGTTGTTATAAGAAGAAGGAAATCTGGAGACAGAGAGACAGTAGGAAAACAGAGAAGGCCATGTAAACATGGAGCCAGAGATTAGAGTCATGTTGCCAAGGCCAAGGAATGCCAAGGATTGCTGGCAACTGCCAGAAGCTAGGAAGAGGTGAGGAAACAGTCTTCCCCAGAGTCTTCAGAGGGAACGTGGCTCTGCCAGTTTTGAACTTTTCACCTCCAGACTGTGACTGAATAAATTTCTGTTGTTTTAAGTCACCCAGTTTGTGGTAATGCGTTGCAGCAACCCTAGGAAACTAATACGCCAGCCTAAGCCTGTCAGATGCCAAACATCTTCATATTTAGCCACTATGATATGGTGTCTTGTGTCTGCAGACTATAGTATAACTTTCAAGGTACATTTATCAGACGCCTTGTATTTCACAGTAGGAGACAGATGGAACCCCTATAACTTGATGTGGGGGGTGGGGGAGGGGAAGAGGTGAAATTATTGCAAGGCAGGCAATGGACAGGGCTGTTTCTTGAAAAGGTGCCCAATCCTCATTACAGCCTGACCATGTGGTTGAGTAGAGAAGTGGAAATGTGTCTGCTCATGAAGTATGGTGCACCAGAAAAAAAGTGGGCCTGGATGCTGCAATACCTGCCCTGAACCAGCTCCGTGATGAGGCACATGACATTCCGATGTGGCTGCTTTGACACAGACTGTCCACTTGGGAACGTGGAGACATGGCGTCAAAAACAAAAAGGTTAACCTCTTGGCTTTGAAAAATCCCTGAGCTCCTCACTCAGTCCCTCTCAACCCCTGATCCTCTCTCCGTACCCCCACATAGCAGACACTTTACTTTTTAGCTGAGTAAATGAATAAAGAACTGCACACTGAGCACAGAATGAGGTTGGAAGTGTCAGAAATGAAACAATGGTCAACAACGAGGAAAAAGTCAGATGTATAGCAAGAGTCATGAAAGAAGGCTCAATAAGAAGTGTCTGCCACTAACATTTGGTGATCAATAGTCGTAACAGAAGGCAATGTAGCAAAGTATCAACATTCGCCAAACATTGGCAGTGAATATAGATGTTTGTAATATTTTTCTTCACAGTGTGGTGTGTTTTAAATGTTTTGTTTAAAAAAAGAGCAATCTGGGTGGCTCAGTTGGTTGAGTGTCTGGCTCTTGATTTCTGCTAAGGTCATGATCTCCGTGTTGTGAGACTGATCCTCATGTTGGGCTCTGTGCTGGGAGTGGAATCTGCTTAAGTCTCTCTCCCCCCCCCCACCGTAGGTGGCTCAGCGGTTGAGCATCTGCTTTTGGCTCAGGACATGACCCTGGGGTCCCAGGATCGAGTCTCATATCAGGCTTCCTGCATGGAGCCTGCTTCTCCCTCTGCCTGTGTCTCTGCCTCTGTCTCTCTGTGTGTCTCTCATGAATAAATAAATAAATCTTAAAAAAAAAAGATTCTCTCCCACTCCCTCTACCCCTCATTCCCACCCCCCACCTGCCACTGCCCCCCTCCACGGGTATACATGCATGCGCATGTGCTCTCTCTCTCTAGAAAAAAATAAAATAAAAATAAATAAATAATAAAAAAGAACAATAGACCAGCAACCAACTCCTAATAGCTACATTGAAATGGTTGTGTCAAGTTGGCATCGTTGAAATAACTTTACTTTAAGGGATGCTGTATCCTCTCCTTCATCAGCGGAGCTTGCATTGTTGTGGCAAAACAGTTCATTTCCACACACACAGATGGACCAAGACTTTGGAGAGAAAGTGTGGAAATATATATATGAAAACACATTTCCTTGGGCTCTGTACTCCTGCTCCTGAGAATTTGTGCAGAGGAAATTATAACTCAAAAGAAAAAAGAATGAAGAATATGTAGATGAAAAAATGGGAGACAAACTGTTTATAACAATGACAAAGTGAGAAGAACTTAAGGTGACCACTAGGGAGTGCTCAGCACTGCTCCCACTCTGGTCAGGCCACCCCCGTCTCCCCCTAGATCCCTGGGGTAGCCTCCAGCTGTCTCTGCTTCTACTTTTACACCTACAGTCTACTCTCAGCAGCCAAGAGTAGCCCTTTTAGAAGGAAATGAAATCGCATCCCCACTTCTCTTCCAAAGGTTCCCACCACCCTTGCTGCTTCTAACCCTGACTTGAGCCACCACCTCCCAGATCCTGAATTTTGGGAATAACACCCTAACTGGTCTCCCCTTTTCCATCTTCCTTCTCCTCAAGGCAACAGTGAAACTGTTCCTTTTTCAAATCATAAATCGGGTCATGTCACTCCACTGCTCAGAACCCTCCAGTGGCTTCCCCTTTGACTCAGAGTACACCCATATGACTCAGTAAAATCAGGTTACACATTTACAGTAGCACACAAGGACCTCATCTCCTTCCCAGTCCCACTGGATATTTTTCATTGGCTGTTCCCTCTACTCATAATGTTCTTTCTCCAAATGTCCACATGACATTACCTCACTCTCTTCAAGTGGTAACTTAAATCTCCTTTTCTCAGTGAGATCTTCACAAACTACCCTATTTTAAACGTTACCACTCCAGTACTGAGCGCTGAATAATGTATAGAATTGTTGAATCATTATATTGTACACTTGAAACTAATATAACACTGTGTTAATTATAGTTGAATAAAAATATTTTTTTACTGTTAACATCCCATATACCCTTATCCTACTATCCTGTTTTGTATTTTCTCTTAGCATTTGTTATATTCTAACAGAATAACTTTACATATCATTTTCCAAATGTCTATTTGCTCTGCCCTGAAACACATGTATGCTGGACTTTAAACTCCAGGAAGAAAGAAATTTTTACCTATTTTGTTCATAGCTGTTTCCCCAAACCCCAAAACAGTGTCTGGTGCATAGTTGACATTCAATAAATATTTGTAAAATGAAAGAACAAATGGTTAAGTAAATTGGGTTAAACCAAGATGAGGGAAGATTAAGCAATCAGATAAAATTGTACTGTGGATCAATGTAGGAAAAGACACATGATGTAATGTAAATGTTAGAAGCTTATGATGGAACCCGAAGCTGCTAAGCAACATCTGTGTGGCTTTGGCAACATTGTCCTTTTTCTGGTTCTTTTGCTTTCCCTTCCTTTAAATGTTAGAGTTCTCAAGAAGTATCCAACTGGCTGGTTCTGTGGGTAGAGCATGCAACTCTTGATACTGGGTTGTGAGTTCAAGCCTCATGTTGGGTGTAGAGTTTACTTTCAAAAAATGTTGGAGTTCCCAAGTTTGTCTTTGTCTATCTACCTCTTGCCCTGTCTACTCTCACTGCTTCAAATACCATGGAGTTTATCCAGCATGTTGTCCAAACCATGGTCTTGGGCCCATTGTCTTGTGTCTTGAACTTCTCATCCACATTATTCATTCTTTTTTAAAAAAATATCTTATTTAGTTATTCATGAGAGACACACAGAGAGAAGCAGAGACAGAAGCAGGCTCCTTGTGGGAAGCCCGATCCTGGACTGGATCCCAGGACCCCAGGATCACCACCTGAGCCAAAGGCAGATGCTCAACCACTGAGCCACCCAGGTGTCCCCATTCTTCATTATTCATGTTATTCTGTATACACTCCCATTAGTAGTTAGATACCATTCTGGGAGTAGTTGTCTGCTTATCAGTCTCCCCCATAAAAATAGAATTCTTCTAAGATAAGATGACTAAGACATATTAGTAAGGACTCAATAAGTGTTTGGGTAGTAAAAGATAATAAATGGAGTTCATACTGTATGCCAAGTACCTCTGAGAACCTTACATATATAGTATCATTTAATTCTCACAGCAGCCCCATAAGGGATGTAAGGTAGACATCCCTTCATCACACAGATGGAACAAATGAGGAAACAGGATCATAAAAAAAGTGACCAAGAAGCATGCTGACGTTAAATTGAGTGTTATTTTTTTTTAATTTTTTTTTTATTTATGATAGTCACACACAGATAGAGAGAGAGAGGCAGAGACACAACACAGGCAGAGGGAGAAGCAGGCTCCATGCACCGGGAGCCCAACGTGGGATTCGATCCCGGGTCTCCAGGATCGCGCCCTGGGCCAAAGGCAGGCGCCAAACCGCTGCGCCACCCAGGGATCCCTAAATTGAGTGTTAAAATGAAGGGATTATAGGCGGTTTTTCTCTTTCAAAAATGTCTTGACTAAAAAAAAAAAGTCTTGACTATTGCAGCGGAGCTCCCCGCGTGCCGCGTACGAGCAGGCGGGTATCTAACCCCACAACTTCAGTAGGTTAAGGCAGCGGCCGGAAGTTGCGGGGCGGGGTCTGGGGAAAGGGGAGGAGCCCGGGGGGCGGGGGGACGGTCCGCAAAGGCGGGGCCTGCGGCGGGAGGAGCCTCGGGCCCCACCCACGGAAACGCTCCCGGCAAAGGACGCGCGGGGGCTGTGGGCGGGGCCGGGGGCGGGGCCAGGCTCGGGCCCCGGGCCGGCAGCGATTGGCTCCCGCGGAGAGGGGGCGGGCCCCACGGCCAGCCCCGCCTCGCCGGGGGGCGGGGCCTGCGCCGGCGCCTCCAGGAGAGGAAGGAGCGCAGCGCGGAGCCCTCTGGGGGACGCCCAGGTCTGCGGCGCCCTCGGCCCCAGAGGCGGAGCCGGAAGCTCTACGGGCTCGTCCGTGAGCCCCTCTGTTTTGGAAGCGGCGGCCCTGTTCCTCTCGACCCGCTCCGCCTGCCCTTGTCGCCGCTTCACCCGGAGGCCCGAGTCCCCTGCCTGGCCGGGCGGTGCCGCCGCAGCTCCCGGACCCGGAAGAGGCGCTACCCCGCTCCTCCGCCATGGAGCCCGCTGCGCCGTCCCTCACCGAGGAGGACCTGACCGAAGTGAAGAAGGACGTGAGTAGCCAGCCTTGCCCGGGCGCCGCGGAGGGCCGGGGGTCGCGGGTGGGCAGGGCCAGGCCCGGCCGGGCGGGCGGGCGGGCGGGCTAGGAGAGCGGAAACGCGGAGTGGGAGTCCGAGCCGGAGAGGAGCCTGCGGGGGTCCGGGGGGCTCAAGGTCCAGGCGCTGCTGCAGGACGGCCCCGGGGGACCTTGGTGGAAGCGACCCCTCGTGACCTGCTAATCCACGTTTAGATCGCTGGGTTCTGAAACCCTGTCCAGTGGAGCGTTTCTCCGCACTCAGCTTCTTGCCGGCTCTCCACTCCTCCCCCGGGGATCTCTACCCCCAGCCCTGCGCTTTGGGGCTGCGTCGTGGGGAGTCGACTGCCCAGGTTCCGCCTTGAGTCACACTCCCTAGGCTGCTGGCCCAACCTGGAGCGACAGCTGGACCCGTGAAAGGCTCCCAAGCAGTGGAGCAGATATGTGAAACTCTTTTATAAAGGGGGGTTGGGGGAAGCTCAACAGCTGAAAGCACAACCTGGAATTCCCCTAGTAAGCAAACGCCCACATATTTAAATTGGGGGGTGGGTGTAGCCGAAAATTAATTTACAGGTAAATGCTGAAAATATTCAGTACCTAAATTATGCCCTTTTGCTTGGATGCTGCAGAACTGCACAAATCTTAGTACTTATTTGTTGAGGTATCTCTTGTTTCTTTTGCTTTTAATTACTTGTTTTGCCACGTGAGACCTCTACGAGTACCCCCAAAATACTTCGTGTAATTTCGAATTAAAACCAGAAACTCAACAGAAAATGAGTTCTGCAGTACTTAATACAGAATCATATTTGTGAACTGGACAAGACAGCTTTTTTTAGATGTTCGTCTACCTTAAATGCTTCCCACCCTTTTCTCCCTTGAAAGGTTTATTACACTGCACTCATAATTACATAATGACAATTGGAATGACTCATTAGCAGAAGGAAACTGGATATGACAGGGACTTGTGCCTTAGTTTGCTCATTCAGCAATACAGATGGAGCGCTTAGTATATGGAAGGCACTGTCCTTGGGCCTGGAAAGATACAAAAAAAAAAAAAAAGAAAGAAAGAAAGATAATCTGGCCTCTGCTTTACATTCTAGTCGAGATAAAACCGGGACATTGATAACTACCACAGAATAAATGAGTGTTGTCTTATGTAAGATTGGTGCCAGTGGAACCATGCACTTCAAGAGCTAAGCCTGTGGTGTTCCAAAATCTTTGTCACACAATTTGCAATGTTCCCATTTAATCTTTACAGCAGTGCTGTGAGAGGTTACAGTTGGGCATAAATATAAAACCTGTACACAAACACAGTTGTGAAGAGTGTCTTCCAGGTCTTTTTTTTTTAAATATCTTTTTCATTTATTCATAAGAGACACAGAGAGAGAGGCAGGCAGAGACACAGGCAGAGGGAGAAGCAGGCTCCATGCAGGGAGCCGGATGTGGGACTCCCTCCTGGGTCTCCAGGACCACGCCCCATGCAAAGGCAGGCACTAAACCATTGAGCCATCCAGGGATCCCCCAGTCTTCAGGTCTTTATTCATTTTTTTTCCCTGTCAGTTCATTGATACTATCCATCTCCATGATTTCAATTTACAGCTATCTCAGCAATTCATAATCTTGGGGAATCATGAAGGGGTCTCAGGAGGTCTATGAAAAAAATGTATGTGCACATTTTTTTCTTAGAGATTTTTTTCATGCTATTTTCAAAATGGTTGATGACCTCAGAAGGTCTTAAAATTATCATACAAATATTTGCACTTCCTTCTTTGTCAGCTCTAGATGCTTGTTTCCAAATATCTACTGGAAATTTACTTTTATGTTCTGTACACTCCTCATCTTGTCAGAAATTGAACTTTTTATTATCCCTTCCCCAAAACTGCTTGCTATATTCTCTGTCTTGATGGATAGTATGCCACCACCCAGCCTTCTGGAAAGTCCCACTCTTTCACTATGCTCCTCCCTTCCCCCTGCCCCCATCAGCTTGTTTACCTCATCTTTTGGATTACATGCTGCTGTGAGGTTCTAACAATTCGAAAATTAGAAATTAAGACGCAATCCCAGTTTGAAAAGAGCTTAATTTCCTGGAAGGAGGGAAACAGACATAAATTAGTAATTGCAAATTACAGAATAAGTGCAATGAATTTTGCATTCATCTAGAACACTATCTACTTGACACTCTGCTAAGTGCAGGATATACAGAGTTGAACAAAACATATGTGGTTTTTGCCTGCTTCAAACATATAGGTCATTAGGGTTGAAGACAAATATATGCTTACAAATTATGGTAAGTACTATGAAGGAGACAAACAGGTATTGAGACAGTAGCAGGGGGAATCAACTTGACATAGGACGGTCAGGGAAGGTTACATTTAAACTGGTTGCTGAAGAATATAACAGAACTGGGGCAAGAATCCTCTAGGCAGAATAAAGTTTGTAAAGGAACTAAAACAGGCAAGACCTTGGTGACTTGGGGAAATTGGAAACAGGCAGAGGGTGCTCTGAGAAGTTAGGAAGGTGGGGCTAGAGCCAGATCATGGAGGATTTTACAGATGGTAATAAAGTATTAGGATTTTTCTCAAGTGTAGTAGGGGTCTGCTGAAGAACTATGTTAATATTTTTAATCCCTTTGCCTATTGTATGGACGGAAGGGAGCAAAAGAGAAGAGGGAAACCAGTGAGGAGATTCATGGAATTAATATAGTTAAGAGCTGATGGTGATTTTGGATCAGGGGGAAAGCAGTAGAAATGGATGGAACAGGAGGATTCCAGATGCATTTTTGAAATAGAAATGTTAAGATTTGGTGATGGATTGAATTGAGAAAGAGAGTAGAGTCAGACTGGTGAGTGAAAATGTCAGATCAGCAATTAGACCTACAAATCTGAAGATCACAAAGGAGATCCAAGCTGTGGGATTGAGTGAGTTCACCTAGAAAGTTGAGAGCTAGAAGGGAAAAGGAAGATCATAGGGGAGTTTTTGTTTTTTTTTGTTTTTTTTGTTTTTTTAAATGAGAGGTCATAGCCATGGAGATGGGAATAGAGCCAGGGGAGTGTAGTATTCACGAAACCAGTATTTCAAGGAGGGGGGAGTGGTCAGCTGTGTCCATGCTGCTGAGAGGTAAAATGAAGACAAATGAGGATGAGATTTGACAGTGACGAGGTTCTTGGTGGCTGAGAAGAGTAATGATACAGAGTAGAAATGAATTGGGAGATAGGAAGTATAGTTGTGGTATGTAGAAAAGTGAAGTATATGCACAGGGTGCTACAAGGACAGGAGAGAGGAGTGCCTAATTCCTTCTGGGGAGTTTAAACAAAGCTTCCTGAAGGAGGTGACCACTGTGCTGAATCATAAATGATAAATAGGGACTTAGGGTATGAGAAGAGAAAATCAGATAAAGTGACAGCACGAAGAACTACACAGTGACAAACAGTTTTAGGTAGAACACAAAGTACCAGGACAGTTAGAGGTGGTGACAGATTAAGCTCCAGAGACAGGATCCATCCTATGAAGTGCCCTGTCTGCCATTATCAAACAGCTGTTACTTATGGTGTACTGACTGTGTATCAGAGACTGTGTCAAGCCTTCATATTCATTGTCCTACTGAGTCCTTCTAGAGGTTCTGCAGGGTAAGTGTTTATCACTATTTTACAAATAAGGAACCTGAAGCTTAGCTTAAGTTTCTTGCCCCAGCTCTTATATGGCGTATATGGCGAATTGCGATCCAAACTGACATTGGCCTTATCCAAAGCCATGCTCTTGACCTCTCTACTATTCTGCCAAAGTTGAGGAACTTTATCTTTTAAGTTGGTGGAACACACTGTTTTAAATTTTTACAAAATTAACTGACAACATTTCAATATTAGTAGAATTCCACTCCAGATTTTCATTTTCTCTTGAAAAATTGGAAGATCTCATAGATGTGTGAAGGAGAAATTTGAGTCAGAGGAAAAAAATGGGAAGTACAGCTAGGTGTCTTGTTTGTTAATAGTCCCTGCAACGTATGACGAAGACCTGAGCTAAGGCAATGCTAATGATAAAGATGAAGTGAAGGGGCAGCTTTGATAAATACAAGGGGTAAGTTGGCAGGACTTGGTGGGTAGGTGATCAGATGTGGCAAGGGAGCAAAAGAGAGGAAGTCGAGGATGAGTTGAAGGTTTATCGCATGATCAGCTGGATGGTGGTACTCCCAAATGAGTGAAGACTATCAAATGGAAAGGACAGGCAAAGATATCAAATTTGGTTTTAGACAAGTTGATTCGAGTAGCTTTGGGATGTCTAAATGGAGAAAGTCTTGATCATATACACAAATTTGGGGATCATCAGTATGTAAGTAGTAGAGATGACAGCAGATGAGGTTTTTCAAGGAGTTCAGCTTTAAAATCTATTCTCTCCCTCCATCCTCACTGCTTAAATTCATGCACTCAACATAGCTTATGTAAAATATTGTGGCAGTCTCCTTATGGGTCTCCCAATTTTTGCTCCCCCAAGTCCTCTGCGAAAGTTTTTATTTTTTTATTGCTTCTTATTTATAAACACTTTGACTCTTGGCTACAGGGAAACATATGTTTCTCAACATGTTATAAAAACTCTTCCATAATACAACCTGTTTTCCTTTCCTTAAGCTTAATTCCTTAAGCTTAATTTCTTACCACTGTGTCACATGCACCCCTGCATCTCAACTACCCCAGACTTGTTAGTATTCTCCTCTGTGCACCTTCATACTACAAGTATACCCTCTCTAAATTTCCCGGATCATGGAGGTACAGTTAATTGTTTACTCTGTACTTCCCTAATACTTGTGGTTTTTTTCTGGGTCATAGCACATTGTATGATAATTATTGGCTTGTGTTTGATAGATACTCTCCAACTAGACTGTGTGCCCTTTGCATACAGGATTCAAGTTCTGTTCATATTTGTATGCTCAACACTTGGCATATTGGGTATTTAGATATATGAAGAGTTTGTTGCGTGAACAAATAAATGAATGTGGGAGCTCAGTGGACTGAGAACTATAGGGACCCTTCACCCAGCCTACTTTTGTGCCACCATGTACTCAAATATTTCTAAGATCTTCCATTGCCTTTAGCTCATCATGATAAATGTAAGTCAAATTAGTCATCATTGTCTTCATCACTAACATTTATTGACCAGTTACTATGTACCAGGCACTTTCTTAAATACTTTACATATATTATTTTATTCCTCATAATACTCAGATGAGGAAGCGGAGGCCCCCAGGGAGTTAAGTTATTTGCCCAAGATCACATATCTAGTAAGTAGGAGAGCTAGAAAACAGTCATTGGCATCAAATTATTAATGCTATTTAGTGGGACCCACGTCTTCTCATTAAGCCCCCTGAGGCACTTCTCAGATCTAAGCCTGTTTTCTGTGATTTCCTTTTCTTCATCTCTTTAATTTCTTCCAACATTCACTATTGCTTTAGTGTACTCCTGCACCCCACCCCACCCCACCCGGCACCCACTTCCTTCTACCCCCTGACTCACTGAGTTAGAATATAGTCTTTCCAACTGACTCCAAAGATAGACACATTAAGGGCTCTTATAGTTATGCTCTTTTAAAGACATTCATACTCTAGGATAGACACTCTATGGTTTTACTCTAAGAAAATGGAAAAAAAAATTTTATAAGATTTTATTTATTTACTCATGAGAGACACAGAGAGAGAGGCAGAGACATAGGCAGAGGGAGAAGCAGGCTCCATGCTGAGAGCCTGATGTGGGACTCGATCCCGGAACCCCAGGATCGCGCCCTGAGCCGAAGGCAGACGTTTAACCGCTGAGCCACCAAGGCATCCCAGGAAAATGAAAGATTAATAAACATGAAAAGGTTATAAATTATGGGACCTCACTAAGTTATCCTCTTTGGTCCTGACTAATCCTGGATTCCATGTTAAATGGTAACTAAAATGTATGGAAGCCTCTGCCCTCATCTTTACCCCTGAAGGTGGAGGCCTGAGCATACCTCCCCTATTTCCATGGACCTGGGCGCTCTAGACCTGTTCCCTTCTCTCAACAGCGTGGCCTTGGTTTATAGGTGTGAAGATGAGATTAAAACAGGACAGAAGAAGGGCAGTCCCGGTGGCTCAGCGGTTTAGCGCTGCCTTCAGCCCAGGGCCTGATCCTGGAGACCCGGGATCGAGTTCCGCATCGGGCTCCCTGCATGGAGCCTGCTTCTCTCTGCCTGTGTCTCTGACTCTCTCTCTCTCTCTAGGTCTCTCATGAATGAATGAATGAATGAATGAATGAATGAATAAATAAATAAGTAAATAAGTAAACAAATCTTAAAAAAAAAGCTGCGAGGAATGTTTAGTCTGGGACCTACTTCTGTCTACTTGGCCCTTCGTCTTAATAACATGGATTTTAGTAGGCCTGAGCCTCTTGACTTCAGTATGTTTTCTCTCACCAATTAAGATTCCTAACTAATGATCAGTCAGTCACCTATGTGATTTCCTCAAGTGAGGGTGAAAAAAAAGCACTGAAGCACAGTTTTATGTCTTTCAGGCTTTAGAAAATCTGCGTGTATACCTGTGTGAAAAAATCATAGCTGAGAGACATTTTGATCACTTACGTGCAAAAAAAATACTCAGTAGAGAAGACACTGAAGAAATTTCTTGCCGAACATCAAGCAGGAAAAGGGCCGGAAAATTGTTAGACTATTTACAAGAAAACCCCAAAGGACTAGATACACTGGTTGAATCTATTCGGCGAGAAAAAACACAGAACTTCCTGATTCAGAAGATTACAGATGAAGTGCTGAAACTTAGAAATATAAAACTAGAACATCTGAAAGGTAAGATATTTTGGTGTCCAAGATTTCGTTTAAATGTAACAATGCTTTTAAAAGCAAAGTACAAAACAAATCAAGAAATCATCATTTTGTTTTTATTCAAAAAGTTTCAGCTTCAGAATTACATTTGATTTACATTTTTTTTTAACTTTCTGTCGTTTCATTGGAAGATTAGAATATCACTCAATGTTCTGTATTTATATTCATTTAACAATACCATTTATACAAAAATGAAATCCTGGTGTACATAGGAGTTTGTTTCTCAAGTCTGCAGGATAGAAGATCAGTCTATTCAAAAGTAACCCCTGAAAATGCACATAACACATGAAGAAAAATATATAAGGCAAAGTATTTGTAGTAAGTCCAACTGTAATGGTTCTTCCACCAGTTGATCACAGAATGAAGCAATTGGCATATGTTTGTAAGAATCGTGTTATGTAAATTATCCATAGCTTTAAACACTAGAGTCACACTCAGTCTGTCATGAGAGAGGCGTGGGAACAAAGGTTGATGAATGGCATAGCAAATTCACTTGCCGTGTCTCACCCTCACCCTGGAGCACACACTCACTAATTGGAATACTACACAGAATTGCCTCTACTGTTTAAATCCTCCTCTTCCCACAAACCCCATCTCTCTCCCTGTGCCTTTCTCTAGACAGTTGAGATAAATGTGCATGTGATGTAGCTCTACTCCAGCTGTTCTAGGCACTGGGGATCCAGAAAAGAGTAATTTAGGCCCTTAAGAAACTCTGTAAGTCCATATTGGGACACATTGGAAGTCTCCCCTCCTGAGCCATATTTAAGAAAATAGTTTCTATAGCATAGATCAGAAATGCTGAAGGTATTGTGAAGTTGAACAGCTGTTGGGGGAAAAAATGATCTATAAATATACTTTATAGATTTTGCAGATTTTACATAAAATTTCTCAAGTCAGGAGATTCTGTACCTATAGACATGTTAAATATTTGCTGAGACTAACAGAAAGATAGAATTTGTACTTATTCTTTTACCCTGAGGCTAATTGTTAGCTACACCCATTGGATATGGTAAAATTCTTTGATCAGAACAACCACTGTCATTTAAGTAGACCGTTAGGTTTGAGAACCAGGACATTATTAATGTGAAGAGACCTGGGGTATAGTTCTCAGTTTCCCAGGAAGTGGTTCTGGAAGGTTGGGTATGACTTAACTATTTGGGGACTCTCTTTTTTCATCTATACTAGTGAGAAGTTATCCAGGGGACCTCTGAAATCCCTTCCACTTCTAACACCCTGTGATTCAAGAATCCATAATTGGTATTATTTAGCTCAGAATTTGAGCATATGGTCCGTTTAAAGTTTGTTTTTTTATTAGGTAATGTGTTTTGTGCCAGAATGCTAAAGAATAGCAGTTTTGAAAGCTGTTTCTTATTTTATGAAAAATTTTAGGGACTACTTAATATTTTCTAGGTCATTCAGTGGTTAAGTATATAAGTATACAAATTAAATGTGAATGATAGCATATCATTTAGCTTCCTTGAGACTATTTCTTTACCTAGGAAATAAAAATAATGGTGCACTTCATGGCGGTTGGGAAAAGCAAATGAAACGTGAAATGGATTATGACCGAATTTATAAATTGCTGTTTAAATTTTGGTTATGTGGTAGCCAGTTTGTAATCTCTAAAAATGTACAAGATAGGTATGGGCTTAATTTTTTTAGTTACTTTTTCATTTACATCTGAATAATTTTATCATAGGACTGAAATGTAGCAGCTGTGAACCTTTTCCAGATGGAGCCACAAACAACTTCTCTAGATCAAATTCAGATGAGAGTAATTTCTCTGAAAAACTGAGAGCATCCACTGTCATATACCATCCAGAAGGAGAATCCAGCACAGCCCCTTTTTTTTCTACTGAGTCTTCACTGAATTTGCCTGTCCTAGAAGTCGGCAGAACTGAAAATCCCACCTTCTCTTCAACTACACTTCCCAGGCCTGGGGACCCTGGGGCTCCTCCTTTGCCACCAGAGCTGCAGTTAGAAGAAGGAGGAACTTGTGGAAACTCTAGTGAGATGTTTCTTCCCTTGAGGTCACGTGCTGTTTCGCATCAATGACAGTTTGCAGCCTCTTAATTTTTTTTAATAATGACAAAAAATATTTGAAAGATTATCAGTCTTTTTATAAAATTACTGTAATGACTTAACATTTGATATATGTTTTTTAAAATGCAGTGGAAGCCTACTTTATAAAAAAGACTTTTTTAGAACCAAAGAATTGCATACTTTTAGATAGCTAAAGAACATCAATGTTGATCATGTACTTTTCAGTGTTTTCCATTCTTTCCATTTTTAAAGTATTGAGTGTTTTCACATTTTTTAAGACTAACTTTAATAGGGAACATTTCTCTATTTGAGAATAGAGTGTTAGGGTGGGAATGATGTCTCAGTGTATTTGTACAAGAATTTTCATAGTCTAATAGTCCTTTCCGACTATTCAGTAAATTTTCAGACTAAGTATATCTATATGGTAATAAATCCAGTCACTGACAGGAAAACTACCAGTGTACTGAAAAGAACCTCCCCCTCACTTGGGCTAGACACTTACAGAGTCCCCTTCTGATGTGGAGGAGCACCTAAGGGAGTGTGAGCCACCTAAGATCTCAATTTGCCAAAATACGTTTCTTATTAACCTTATTAATTAATACCACTTTCTTAGGATTTTCACAATCTTATCATTTTCATTCCTACAGAAAAAAATCTCAGCAAAAACCTGCTATTACACGTAATTTGGTGGGTTTTAAAAGTATTTTTCTGAACTTTTCATCCTCTTTCAGTGAGGACCACTGTACAAGTTGAACTAACTAGAACAAAATGTTGTCTGTGTGTGTATATGTGCCAGTCCTGTCTTCAATACTGTCTGGAACAAGTGGGCCATTGGCTTCATTTGTCTTTTTTACTATATAACAAAGTTTGACTAGTTTTACACCTTTATAAATTTTATGCTGTCATTGGTTTTATTTAAATTATAATCTCCCTGTTTCCTGATATATGTCTCATATATTTCCATTACTTTGAAAAAGCAGAGGTGGGACTATGCTATTAACAACAAGAGTTTTTGAATTACAGTGCTATTTTTTGGAAGTTTCAAGTATTTCAATAGGAAATAAATACCTAAAATACTTTTTTTACATGTACCAATTTTTATAGAAATCTTACTTCAAGTGATGAGATCAAGTTGCATTTCTGGATAGACATGTATTTATCAATCACAAAGAAGATCGGCCTTTGGCTTTAGAACTTGTTTTAAGCCTGGATAATTTTTGTAGTGTAACATTTTCTAAGGATTATGGGAAGCATGTTTCACCTTCAGCAAGGCATAAGAAAACAGTGGCATTACATTTAAAGAAGTTAAAAAGCAGAAGCAGGCTTTTCATTTCATTAAAATTTGATATGTGGTTACTCTTATTTAAAAATAATTTACTCAGAATCAGAAATAATTTAGATATACTGTATCACCCACATTTATAGTTGATAACACTGAGTTTTCTTTCAGACTGTTAACTATACAGACAATAAAATTAAGGTTTTAACAAACTTAGCCTTTTGGGTTTTCTGAATCCTATGAAGTCAATTTTTTTTCCCTTTAAACACTGAAAACCACCTATTGCTGGAAGTATATAAATTAGAATGACAGACTCACAGGTTGGTGAATGCAGGAGTGAAAAAGTTACTTTTTACAGATATTGTATTATCACTTCACACAAAAGCAACAATCCTGATCTCACTTTATAATTCTATCTTAATCAATAGACTTTATTTTTTAGCATGGTTTTAGATTTGTAGAAACATTGAGCAGAAAGTACAGTTTCCATATGCCCCCACTTCCTCTGTTTTCCATTTTCATATCTTGCATTAGTGTGGTATATTCGTTAGAATTGATTAACTAGTCTTGAAACATTATTAACTAAACTTAGTAGTTTACATTAGGATCCACTCTGTGCTGTGCACTTCTATAGTTTGGTTGTCTTTTTTTTTTTTTTTTAAGATTTTACTTATCTATAGCAGCACATGCACTAGCAGAAAGAGAGGCAGACTGAGAGGAGAGAATCCTCCAGCAGTCTCCCCACTGAGCTTGGACTCGGATGCAGGGCTTGATTCTGTGACCCTGAGATCATAACCTGAGCCAAAATCAAGAGTCAGACTCTTAACCGACTGAGACACTGAGGCCCCCCAGTTCTATGGGTTTTGTTAAATGCGTAAAGTCATCTATCCACCAGTATGATATCATACAGGACAGTTTCACTGCCCTAAAAATTTCCTGTGTTCCACTTACTCATCTCTTCCTTTTCCCTCCCCCTTCCAACCCTGGCAACCACTGATCCTTTTATTGTCTCTGTGGTTTTGTTTTTTCCAAAATGTCACGTAGTTGGAATCATATGTAGCCCAAGTAGTATGTGGCCTAAGTTTTCTCCATGTCTATTCATGGTGAACACACCTCTTACTTTTGGTCAGTATGTTGGTCTTAGTGCAAGGTCAAACACTGGCAAATTAGGAACAGGCCAGAATAATGGCAAATTTTTGTTTTGTTTCAATTTTTTTTAAGAAGTGTTTTGGCTCTGGGATTTGGGGATTTGTTTATTTTGATACATTTTGTTAAATTTTAACTAATTACCAATCTTTTGTGTTTAGTGATTTCTGTCCCCTGTTTTAAAATTTTTTTCATCTCTCAGTGTCATGATGGTATTTTCCTATGTTTTTTTTCTGGAAACTTAGTTATTTTAGTTTCATAATTGGCCATATAATTCATTATGAAGTGATTTCTATGTATGGTGTAAGGTAGAAGCCAAGTTTTACAGGTGCTGGCTTTTAACCTAAGCAATTTCAAAGGGAGCAGAAAGTTCTAGGCTCTGGTCTTATCTTGTATCAGTGGATAAATATATACACTTTTGATTTTGGCGAAAAAAAGCAAACCAAGAAGCAAATCAATCTATAGTTGTTGAGTGTAAACTTATGAAGGCTATCTGAAAGGAGAGCTAAAACAAACTCAGGATAAAGTAAATGACTCAAAATCACACAACTTTTTAGGATAAAAATATTTGGCTCCACAGTCCATGCTCTTTCCATAACTCCATCCTCTTCTTAGCATTTCTTACATGACAGGAAGTTAAGAGTGGGGATTATGTATTTTTTCAGTCATTAGTTTAGTGATTATCGAGTATCTATTCTAGGTGTTGGAGATACAGTGATAAAGTCTGTGTCCTCAAAAAATTCACATTCTAGCTGGGGAAGATAAAATATAAACATGGAGACCTAGGTAATTCTAGTTGCCATGGATACAAATAGGGCATGTGTGAGTTAAAACATAACTTGGGAAAGAGTATAGGTAGCACCATCAGGGAAGTCCTCTCAGACCAGGTGGCAGTTGAGCTGAGATGTATCCAAAAGACACAGAAACCAGCTTAAAGGGGCTCCCACAGGCCAAATCCAGAATAATTTCAACATCAAAATAAATAATAATAGTTTAGGGCAGCCCAGGTGGCTCTGGTTTAGCACTGCCTTTAGCCCAGGGCCTGATCCTGGAGACCTGGGATCGAGTCCCACATCAGGCACCCTGCATGGAGCCGGCTTCTCCCTCTGCTTGTGTCTCTGCCTCTCTCTCTTTCTCTCTGTCTCTCATGAATAAATAAATACAATCTTTTAAAAAATAATAATAGTTTATAGATCATTGGATAAAATAAGAAACCATGAGTCCATGCTAATATAAATAAATGGACAAATAATGTGATGAAGAATGGGATATTGACCTAGGCTCAAATATCTCCCTACAAAACATTTATTAATTACAAAGGCCAAAAGTAACTTGATGGTAGAAAAGCCTGCCAGATACTTCCTTAAACAAAAGATCAGGGGCACCTGGCTGTCTCAGCTGGTAGAGCATGTGACTCTTGATCTTGGGGTTGTGAGTTTGAGCCCCACGTTGGGTGTAGAGACTACTTAAAGTCCTTTAAAAAATGGTTAAAATCATCAGTACTGAAGCAAATGAAATCACATGCCTACTGATTGGATGCAATGAGAAGAACACACCACCACTTTCATAATATTCTTTTTTTTTTAAAGGATTTTATTTATTCAACAGAGAGAGAGCACAAGCAGGTGGAGCGGCAGGGAGAGGGAAAAGCAGGCTTCCCCCTGAGCAGAGGGCTCAATGTGGGCCTTGACGCCAGGATCATGACCTGAGCTGAAGCCAGACATTCAACCAACTGAGCCACCTAGGTGCCCCCAGTTTCATGATATTCTTAAAGATTTGTAACCTGCATTTCATCACCAAGACAAATTGAGGCATCTTCTACAAGATAACTGTTCTATAATCTTAATGTCAAGATCATGAATGTTAGACTGAAAGGCCATTTCAGGTTGAAGGAGATGAAGAGACATGGCCACTGAATACAATGCATGAATCTAAACAACTTTAAAGATTATTAAATGTTATGAAAATTAGCAAGCAAGAAAGAAGAATAGTAGAGGTTGAATTGGTAATAAGTGTTTGGACTCAGACTATATTTTAAATTTGAAATGATAAGACTTAGTGACTTTTGACTTGAGCATCTGCTGTAATTTGGGGTGCCTGGCTGGCATAGTCTATAGAGCTTATGACTCTTGATCTCAGGGTCATGAGTTCAAGCCCCACGTTGGGTGCAGAGATTACTCACAAGTAATGGTAATACTGCTTCTCCCTCTGCCTATGTCTCTGCCTCTTTCTGTGTGTCTTTCATGAATAAATAAAATATTTTTTTAAAAAAAGAGCCACAAGATACACGTGGTTATCTTAATATCAGTTTTACTCAATAACGTCATTTTAAATATTTTTATATATTAACTAAAAGCTGTATTAGAGACTAGTATATAAAATTTGCATACATTTTCAAAATATTATACTATATGCCCCCAAGATTTTATGTTCATGGGGCTCCAGGCCACACTGTATCAGTTTTACCTATGGAGGGGTTGGAGATTGAGGTCAGCCATACAGGCAATCAACTTATCCGGGATCCCTGGGTGGCGCAGCGGTTTGGCGCCTGCCTTTGGCCCAGGGCGCGATCCTGGAGACCCGGGATCGAATCCCACGTCGGGCTCCCGGTGCATGGAACCTGCTTCTCCCTCTGCCTGTGTCTCTGCCTCTCTGTCTCTCTCTGTGTGACTATCATGAATAAATAAATAAAATCTTTAAAAAAAAAAAAAACACTGGACACCAAGGCTTGGGTGAATCTCCTGGTTAGCAATACTCCATGCATACTATCACATATCTTTGTTAATACCATCTACACGTTTATGGGGAAAGGACATTGGAAGCTCTGTGTGTGGAAATCTGGGCTCTACCCCTTGCTCCTCTTTCTTTGGCCGATTTTAATCTGTATCCCTTTGCTGCAATAAACCACAAGCAAAAGTAAAATAGCTCCCAGTGAGTTTTGGGAGTCCTTTTAGCAAAAACTTGCAATTGGTGTCAGAAGTGAGGATGGTTTTGGGTACCCCCAAACTTTGCATTTTGGGACCATCATCTTCCTCTGTCAACACAGGTATCTGGATGGAAAATTTTGAGAGAACACCTAGAACTACACACTTCTAAGTTATCGTAACCCACATTATTTATGGATCATCTACTCAGCGAAAGGCACTGAGCTGGGGTACCAGGAATATAAAACTGAATGAAACACAGTCCGGCTCCTCCACCTGGAAAAGAGGAGTGAACAAGACAGACCCTATCTCTGCCCCCTGGAGCCTGCCTCCCACAGGAACAGCAAATCATGAAGGAGTGTATCGTCTGAAGGAGCTGTCCTCCTTCCCTGGGGTCTGTAAACGTTTCCAAACAGTTTTATCACTTTCATTTAAGTATCACTCCCTCTTAGATCACCAGGAGAAGTCCAAGATTTCTAGTTTCCTTGGTGACTAGGTTACATCATTTACTGAGACAGGGAACACATACAGAAACAAGTCATAAGGAAAGACAAGCTACTGATCTAGTAAGTGGGTGTCTGAGGCCCCCGCAGGATGTCCACATGGAAAGTTTACGAGCCAAGTGGAGGTCTGGTCCAGAGGATGGATGGAAAGATTGCGGTTGGAGACCCAGATTCGGGAGCCACAAACAGAAGGGAGTTAAGGTCATGGAAAGAGATGGGCTGACTCGCAACTTTGAGTTGCCCTGTACAAAATTGAGAAGCGTTGCTGAAAGATGGTATAATACGTTGGGAAACACCACGTACACTGCAAAGCAAAACTGAAAAGAGCCTGAAAAGGAGAAGCCAGAGTTTGGAAGCCGCGCTGAGCAGCGAGATAGAACCCAAGAGGAATTTCACCAAAGATAGTTGTTCAGAGCCCACGTGGGACTTGGTCAAGCCGGGAGGATTTAGTCTGTGACTTGATTAAGTCCACCACCCATAGAGGGCTTGCAGGATGACTGAGGGAAGCAAGCACACGGAGACTAATTTTCATTTTGACGAGGAGATGCAGTGGGATCAGAAAGAAATGCTGGCGTCCCCGGGGCAATGGTTAAGGTGGAGTGGCAGTAAAAAAAAAAAAAAAAAAAAAAAATTCTATGTCTTGTGTGCCTTTATTTACTTCTTTAAAGATTTTATTCATTCATGAGAGACACATGGAGAGAGAGGCAGAGACACAGGCAGAGGGAGAAGCAGGCTCCGTGCAGGGAGCCCGACGTGGGACTCGATCCCGGGTCTCCAGGATCACGCCCTGGGCCGAAGGCAGGCGCTCCACCGCCCAGCCACCCGGGCGTCCCTCTCAGGTGCCTTTAATAGACTCCTACTGACTTTGATATTGAAAACTTGAAATTTGATATTGAAATTTGAAAGTTCGGTTGGGACCAGGGCTTCGGGACGTGCCTCTTCCCGGGGCTCCAGGAGGGCGCACAAGCAGCCCCGCCCCGCTGGGAAGCGAGCGCTCCCGCCTCCAGCCCCGGGCTCCGGTCCGGCTGCAGGAGCGCGGCGCGGCCGTCAGGGGGCGCAGGCCCCGCGGCTCTACCGCAAGACTCGGGGCGGAGCCAACCGCGGGGCGGGCCCTGGAGCAGCTTCCGGCTTCCGGCCGGGCCCGCGGTCGTCGCGCGCAGCCGTCATGGCGGCGGAGGAGAAGGACCCTCTGAGCTACTTCGCGGCTTACGGCAGCAGCAGCTCCGGCTCCTCGGGCGAGGAGGATAACAGCGAGCCGGAGGAAGCAAGCCGCAGGGCCCCAGGTCCTGCGAAGGCGGCGGGCGGCTGCGGGAACGAGGCGGAGAAGCGGCTGCCGGGCCCCGACGAACTGTTCCGGAGCGTGACTCGCCCGGCCTTTCTCTACAATCCGCTCAACAAGCAGATAGACTGGGAGAGGCACGTCGTCAAGGCGCCCGAGGAGGTGAGGCTCCCGACCCGGTTTCCGGTCGTGGCCCCGGCCTCCGCCCCCTGCCTCCTCAGCCCGCTCCTGGGGACCGGCCGGTCGTCCCCTCACACGCAGTCACGCCCTGCGGGACGCCGCCCCGCCCCCCTCCGGCCCCGGGGAGCCCGGGCCCCCTCCCCCCAGCCTGGTGGGTGTCAGCCCGGCCCGCAGCCCCCGCCCCCTGGTGAGGAGACCCAGACCTCCGCGCTCGGTGCCCCGACCCCGCGCTGCGAGGACTAACGGTGGTGACTCCCCCGCCCCCCCCCGCTGCAGCTTCTCCCCGAGACCCCTTCCCTTTGACGCCGAAGTTGCCTGCGGTGCTGCCTCCAAGACAGTGTCTGCTGCAGCCTCCTGAAGGGGTCAGCCTTGGCGTAGTATCTCTGAGACTGGATTCTTCTTTGGTAACTAAAAGTTATTAGCTTTATTCGTATAGGGAACCCTTTGGCTTTTTCACTTAACAGTATTGTGGTTTTTGATGGAAAAGAAATGTGTCTTTAAGCCTTAAACGAAAATTTAAAAAAAAAAAAAAAGAAAAAAAGTCAGCCTGAACAATGAGCGGACGGCAGGGAGGTGCATGCGCCCCTACGGATGGATTGTTAGGAACCCCGGTTCGTCACGGTGCTTCTTAATGTGTTTGCTTAACAGCCTCCCAAGGAGTTCAAAATCTGGAAGTCAAACTATGTACCACCTCCAGAGACCTACACTACTGAGAAGAGACCTCCCCCGCCAGAGCTGGATATGGCAATAAAATGGTCCAACATCTATGAGGACAATGGCGATGATGCCCCACAGAACGCTAAGAAGGCGAGGCTGCTGCCCGAAGGGGAGGAGACCGTGGAATCAGGTAAGGCAAGTCAGACCCCCTAGAAAATACCTTTGGGTCCCCGTGACAAGTTTAAAAAACAAGGAGACACTCAACGAGTGAAATTTAAATTCAGCGACTGCACAAATTTAGTTTTGTCACGACTGTGTACGAGCTTTTGCTGTGTATGTTAGGATTCGTGTGTGATGATCGCTTTTGCTGTAGCTTTGAGAAGGATTTGTGTAAAGTCGGCTCTGAAGCGAATCTCGGAAAGCTCAACCAGTAGTAGTATCTACTGTGTTTTAGAGAAAAAAAATAATAATGATAATTGTAAGTTCTTCAGGCTTTAGAGTGAAATCTCTGACAGTCTCAACCAGGAGTATATATGTGATTTATGGTGCCTTATTAAAACAGAGCCAGCTAACTCAGCGGTTTAGTGCCGCCTTCAGCCTGGGGCCTGAACCTGGGGACCTGGGATTGAGTCCCAGGTCGGGCTCCCTGCATGGAGCCTGCTTCTCCCTCTGCCTGTGTCTCTCTGCCTGTCTCTGTCTCTGTCTCTCTCTCTCTCTCTCTGTGTGTGTGTCTCTCATTAATAAAATCTTAAAAAAAAAAAAAAACAGAGCCAGCTAATTCATGGATCCTTTCTTGTGATTGCAGCTTTGAAGAGCTAAAGGCTTCATTTTATATTAAAGTAGTTGTGGTTTAAAGCCAAAATTAGTGTGACAAATGAAGTTAATTGAGTCTTACGACATAGTAGTAATAGGAAGATAATGACTTAGTTGTTGACTTGTTTGTATCATAATTTCCTCTCATATTTAGAGTATAGGTAACCACAGTAATCTCTGCTTACACGCTTTAAACCAGCTCCCCAATTCCATCCTTCAACACTGCAGCTAGTGATCACTTTCTAGAAGTCATGTCTGATTATGTAATTCACCTGCTTAAAATCCTTCACCAGCATAGAGTCCAAGCCCTCTGATAGGTCCTGCCTTTCTCTCCACTTTCAATTCGAACAGTGCTTTTTCTAGCACTTTAAGATCTTAAACTTGAAAACTGAATAGACCGTACTATCTTATGGTTCCCTGACATTTTTTTTTTTAGTTCAGAAAGTTCTTCCTTCCCTCTTTGGCTGATATCACACATTCATCCTTCAAAATCCAATTCAAGGAAGAAAAAAATATTAGCATCTACCTCAAATTATTTGCTCCTTTATACTCTGTATGTGCTAATGCGGTTGATTGCATTTATCATCCTTTGTGAGATTATTTGTTCCTAAGTCTATCTCCTTTATGAAAATGAGTTCCTTTACAGTTTGTAGTACATTTTAAGTATTCAGTGAGTCATAGTTGAATTGGACTAAATATTTGGACCACCATTTTTATGAAACATGCCAGCTAAACAAATTTCTTATGTTCTCATAAATCAAGGGCTACTTACTTAGTTCCTTTTACAACCAGCAGAAGGTATTAAGAAAAAGAATGACTAACTGGTAGGAGCTCCTCAGTTTTGATTCTACTTGGCCTTTCCATTTCTTTCACTGATTTTCCGGCATGGATTAGAAGTCACTAATGAAGGCATATATTTAGTAAATGGCATCCTTTTAGAGATGCCAAATGAAGTTGGCATTTAAAGTATTGGGACACCTGGGTGGCTCCGCCTTCTGCTCAGGGCGTGACCCCTGGGTCCGGGGATCAAGTCCTGCATCAGGCTCTCCGCAGGGAGCCTGGTTCTCCCCCTGCCTACGTCTTTCTTTGTTTCTCCTGAATAAGTAAATAAAAACTTTAAAAAATAAATGATAAAATACCTTATATTGCATAGCATTTTATGTAATTAATAAAAACCTTTTTGCATAAATAATGTTTATTTTATTTTTTTAAAAGATTTTATTTATTCATAGAGACAGAGAGAGACAGAGACACACAGGCAGAGGGAGGAGCAGGCTCCATGCAGGAAGCCCAACGTGGGACTCAATCCCAGATCTCCAGGATCACACCCCAGGCTGCAGGGGGCGCTAAACCGCTGCACCACCAGGGCTGCCCTGCATAAATAATGTTTAATTCTTACAACATGTGAAACCAGATAGGGAAATGTGGAAATGAGAGTTTAATGTGGCTTGTACATGGTCACAAAACTAGAAAATGCCAAGCTGTAAAATAGGAACTTTGACACAGTTTTTAAAATTTACTGTTCTTAACAACCTAGTACAGAAGTGTTACATGATTCTTTATTACTACTTTATAGACAAAGAAATAATCTCAGATTAAAGAACTGGCCTAAGGAAATTCACACATTTATAAAGAGTCAAAATTAGGGATCCCTGGGTGGCTCAGCGATTTAGCGCCTGCCTTCGGCCCAGGGCGTGGTCCCGGCATCCCACGATCAAGTCCCACATTGGGCTCCCTGCAGGGAGCCTGCTTCTCCCTCTACCTGTGTTTCTGCCTCTCTCTTTCTCTGTCTCTCTGTCTCTGTCTCTCTGTCTCTCTCTCTCTCTCTCTCTCATGAATAGATAAATATTTTAAAAAATCAGAAAAACATCCCACATATATGAACACTATGACTGAACATTAAGATACTTGTTCATAAGAATGAAGAAAAACCAAAGATCTGAGGACTAGCAAAATAATTCTTTAAAAACTTAAAGTATCGGGGCACTGGGTAGCTCAGTGGTTGAGCATCTGCCTTTGGCTCAGGTCGTGATCCTGAGGTCCCAGTGATGGGAGTCCCATGTCAGGCTCCCTGCCTGGAGCCTGTTTCTCCCTCTGCCTGTTTCTCTGCCCCCCCCCCCCCCACGAATGAATGAATAAAATTAAAAATAAAAAAAGAGGCAAAATTAGAGTTCAAATTCAGGCCTTTAAATGGAAATGATGCCTCTTTAAGCTGCGGTTTATTCTGTTGATGTTTTTGCAAGCTGTAGTGCTCCAGTAGTAGTAGCTGTTCTGTAGGAAGTAGGATCACTAGAGTTGATACTTAAACTAGGGTAATATAGGCTGGTGTTCCATTGTTGTTGCTATATGGAAATGGTGAGGATTCTATACTAGGACAAACAAGCGGAAAAAATTCTTTTTTCCAGCTTGCCTATTGCATCCAAATAGAACAAGTTCCAAATATGTGGCAAATAATACTGTTATTCTCGTAATTTCTGTTCTTTTGATTATATGATGGTCCTCCACCAGAAAGTATACAGATGATATCAAATGACGAATGGACCCACTGTTCAGACAGTTTAAAACTGGATTATAAAGTTAAAAAAGATAATCCTGAAATCTTTAATTTGGACTCTAATGTTGGTTATTGAATATAACTATCTTCTTTTTTAGATACTTTACTGTTTTTGTTTTTTAAGATTTTATTTATTAGAGAGCATACTCTCAAGCAGGGGGAGAGGCAAAGGGAGAGGGAGTAGACTCTGCACTGAGCAAGGAATCTGATGCTGGAGTCCATCCCAGGACCCCAAGATCATGACCTTAGCCGAACGAAGACAGATGTTTAACCGACTGAGCCACCCAGATGCCCTAATACTTTCCTTTTTAGAAGTGATTTATGCTATTTCAGAATCCCATACCATGTTTACAAAGTCACTATAAAATCAGTCATTTTTTTATCTGTATTTTTTGACATACAAAATATCTTATTTAAGAAATTCTATACTTGGGACACCTGGGTGGCTCAGTGATTTAGCGTCTGCTTTTGGTTCAGGTCGTGATCCTGGGGTCCTGGGATGGAGTCCCACATAAGGCTCCCCACAGAGAGCCTGCTTCTTCTTCTGCCTGTGTCTCTGCCTCTCTCTATGTTTCTCATAAATAAATAAATAAAATCTTTAAAAAAATAAATTCCATACTCTTAAATTATCTAATTTTTAGCTTATGAAAATATTTTTATTATTCCTACACATTTTTTGTACTTCGCCCTTTTTTTTGCCAGTTAACTCTTCCAGTTTTGTTTTGTTTTTTAAGAGCTGGGAAAGATTCAAAACTCATCCAGGCTTGCTACTTACCAGTGCTTCTTGTTTGGTAACTGTGAAATGCAGATCAGTAAGGCTTAGATATTATTGACATGTACTTACCCACGAAATCCAAGTAAAGTAGCTAATCTTTTTTCTTTTTTTTAAGAATTTAGAAAGTTCATATTAATAATGTAAACTTATTTACCTCAGGTGGTATGAATTCCATAATAGAAACATTTTTTCCTTACTAATGCATTTGTAATATATGGCACAGAATAGAAACTCAATCTTGATAAATGAACATTTCAGGGTGGTTTGGTTTCCTTTTTCTTGCTATAGTTTTTAAGGCAATGCCTTGTTGTATCACTAGGTGGCATCAGTTCCTGTTCAAATTACAGATAGGAAATGATTTTTTCCCACCCTGGTAATTTGTATTTTTTGCTAATTCAGTAAATTTATTTAGATTTGCCAGAATAATAGCAGAGGTATCTCACAGTCATCTTTTTAATAATATGTCAACAGTGGATTTTACAGCATAGCTAGTAATTTCAATTTTTAAACTATGATGATAATCTCAAAGTCAAGCAATGATGTTAAACTCCAGTTAAAAAACAAACGCCTTAAAAAAAAAAAAAAAAACGCCTTGGGGATGCCTGGGTGGCTCAGCGGTGCATGATTCTGGGATTGGGAATCGAGTCCCACATTGGGCTCCTTGCAGGGAGCCGGCTTCTCCCTCTATGTCTCTGTCTCCATCTCTCTCTCTCTCTCATGAATAAATAAATAAAATATTTAAAAAATAAACAAACACCTTAATGTGCCTGAGTGGCTCAGTTGGTTAAGCAGCTGCTTTTGGCTCAGGTCATTATTCAGGAGTCCCAGGATGAGCCCTGCATACCATTCCCCACTCAGTCCAGAGTCTGCTTCTCCCTCTGACCCTTCCCCTTCTCATGCGCACGCTCTCTCTCTCTCTCTCTCTCTCTCACTCAAGTAAATAAAATCTTCAAAAACAAAAAGAACAAAGGCCTTGGCTTATTTGAGCTGTGTGCCGTATCAGTTGATTTGTATATTATGTTTATGTATACATGATAAACTACTGGTTAAAACTAAGAATCTGGGGCAGCCCTGGTGGCTCAGCGGTTTAGCACCACCTGCAGCCCGGGGTGTGATCCTGGAGACCCAGGATCGAGTCCCACTTCGGCTCCCTGCTTGGAGCCTGCTTCTCCCTCTGCCTGTGTCTCTGCCTCTCTCTGTGTGTCTCTATGAATAAATAAATAAATAAATATTAAAAAAAAAACTAAGAATCTGTAAATTCTTAGGGGATGGTTCATTGATTTGAATTTTATTTTATCTTGCTGCCTATGTAAATCCTTAAATGCTTTATGAAATATATGAATAACATCGCCATATTGTGCTTGAAGATGAAGATGTGTGTATCATCTGCTGTTGATTCTAATAATTCTCCGCATCAACAAAGGAGATATTCTGAGTATGGTAGTGTTAGTAGAAGGGAATTGAAGGCTTAGGTTGTAAATGTATTTGCTCCATAAGGAGTTTATGGTGTGATATAAGCAGCTTTCCCCCAATTTTTAATTTTTATTATTTTTATTAAGTAAGCTCTATTCCCAATGTGAGGCTTGAACTCAAAACCCCAAGATCAAGAGTTGCATGCTCCACTGACTGAGCCAGCCAGGCACTGCAGCTTCCCATTATTTTAATATGAAGGTCCCTTTCAACATCAGAATATTTTATAGATCACCACAGGATAGTTGTTGAACTTTGGCTATCTGTTGTTTGGTTGAGAAAATAAAGCCAAAAGTGCAGTGAATCCAATAATGTGCTTAAAATAAATTTGTATTTTAAAATTTATAACTTCTACATGTTACTCTGTCTTTATGGAGTTCTTAACATAAAGCCACACATATGTTCAGAAAGAATACAGCGGTGAAACATCTGCCTGTGAGTGCTTTTTAAATTTCGAAATATAAGGGGGGAGGGGCTAAAAATAGGAAAGGGAGTTTTGCAGAGAGAGAAAGCAGATTAGAAGAGAAAGAACAGCCGATGGTCGCTTAAATAATGTCATGGTTAGATTGATACACTTCTTTGGTAAAAAGAATAGAAATGTGTCTATCTTTACAACATGTAGATTATTTAAATATATACAAGGTGTATACTGTAGAATATTTGGGAATAGCTTTTTTTCAGAACAAGTCTGATTTTCTCATTTTAAACTCATTTTAAACATTTAAATATAGGACTAAAAGGTCGCTTAATTTTTAGTTTTTATTAGGGAACTGAAAGAAATGAGGATAATGATTTTTGTCTAAAGTCAATGAAATTTTAATACTTTTTTAAAAAAATTACTGATTGAAACTTTTTCTTTCCTGTTAAAGATGATGAAAAAGATGAGCATACTTCTAAAAAGCGCAAAGTAGAACCAGGAGAACCAACAAAGAAGAAAAAGTAGAAAACAACAAATGACAAGAATTTCTGGACTGCAAAACTTGTTGAAACGGTTTTTTTGGGCAGATTAAGTTGACGTTTTAAATTATTATGAAACAACACCTCCATGAAAGAACATGTTAATTAATAATAAGTATTGCTGTGGGAACTGTCCACTGTAGAATTCATTTTTTTATTTAAAACTTTATTTAAAACTCAAGTGGTGATTTGTGATTGTGAAATTGACAACACATGGAAGCATTCTGGCTATCACAGAATTGGTGACATGCTTTGAGTTTTGTCACATGTCGACATGCCAATGTTCTATGAACCTTTTATAAAGGAATATATTTTTAAAGTAAATATATTGTAATGTACTGTGAACTTGTAGGGTGCTTTTCAGCAGTGTTTGTACAGTGTAAATAGATCATGGAAATAAAATTATTCAATATTACTATTATTGCATAGCATTAACATTTGATTATTTGTCTGTGACAGGTACCCTCTTTGCCATGTGATGTTTTAATAGTAGGTTTGACCATCTAGGGAGTGCCTCCTTTGTTCAGGTGCTTTGTGTGGATACTTTTTCTCTGATCCTCAAACAACCAGATGAAGCAGGTATTAGTGGCTTCATTTTTTAATAAAGAGAGATTAACAAAAAAAAAAAAAAGAGAGATTAACTTATCCAAGATTCCACAACGAGTGAGCAATGATTTTTGGGATTTAATTCAGGACACTTGAACTCCAAAATCATCACCCTAACCCACCTACCCAGCAAGAAGAATTTCATTGCCTTCTTGGGACTACAGATGTCATGTCTTCAGGTGCTCTTTCTGGTTAGGGAAATCTCCTTCCCTGATTGTATTCCTGCACTTTATTGAGTAAGCCTTATGTGATGGTTATTCATTAATTTCCCTGGTTAATAGTTTTCTGAAGATAAAGATTCTCTATAAAGAATTGCCAGATGTAGCAAATAAAAATACAGGAGACACCCAGTTAAATTTGAATTTTAGATAAACAACAAATAATGTTTTGAATGGGCAATATTTGGGACATACTTACACTAAAAATTTGTTTATCTGAGACTCCGATTTAACCAAGCATCTTGTGTTTTATCTGACAACACTACTTCTATTGTGTTTTTTCTATATGTCTCCTATTTGAATGCTTTGCATAGAGTGATAATCAAAATCAGCAAGGGATAGGAAATTGATAATCTTCTACAGTCCTTGATCAGTGCGGTTACTTATAGCATTTTGAACTATGAAAAGGAGAGGCTATATGTTGTATCAATCCTTCCATGAATCTTCATGCCTTTATTTTATTTATTTATTTATTTCTTAAGATTTTTTTTTGAGAGACACGGGGAGAGAGAGGCAGAGACACAGGCAGAGGGAGAAGCAGGCTCCATGTGGGACTTGATCCCAGGACTCCAGGATCACACTCTGGGCTGAAAGCAGGCTCTAAACCGCTGAGCCACCCAGGCATCCCTGTTCATGCCTTTAAGAGACCAGAGTTATTACAGGACCCTGCACATTTAGTGTATAAGAAAAATTAAAGACATTGGTCTTTAAGTTTTTTAAAAAATTTCCTCAATCCAGTTGTTTTTTTTCAATACTGGAAAAACCGTATTTGAAAAACTACAATTTTTTTTTTAATTGGGAACATGGATCAAGTAGATTAAAATTTGTAGAAGTCATTAAAAATGATGGTGCTAGCCATGGTGCTTTGTGAAATGAGGAAGGAATGTAACAGTATGATAGCTTCCAGTACATCTCAAACTTACAAAAACTATCTTCTAGCTTTATAGTTGTATGATTCCCAGAATTGAAGCAATTGGTAGGGCAAGAAACTTCTTGTTTAAAGCCTTTGTATATGAATAATTTGGAGGGCTATAGTATCATATTAGGGAGTGGCATCAAGTGATTAGTCATGACTCCAGTGTGACACCAAACTAAACAAATGGAATTATAATTGTGAGTCTGTGATTCCCAAGTCTAGAGAAACCTATTATCTGGATACATGTATTAGTGGAGCAGATATCTCAAGGAATTACAGGATTTAAAAATTAGCATGAAGGCAGACCTCACACCAAAGCCAAACAAAACCCAGCAAGCTACTTACTGTCTGGATATCTAGCCTCTTTTTACCACCCATTGGTTCAACTTCCAACTTACATCATTTAGTTTGTGACAGAACAAAACCTCACTAGATCAGTCCCTACTGATGCTTTCAGCCCCCCTTGAATGTAACACAATGGGGTTGGTGGGGAGGAATAAATACCACTTTTTTGGAAAGGGATTTGGTATTTCAGGGCAGGTAGTGGCTACACTTGTGAGCTCATTAAGCACCTGCTAGGAGATGTACACCTATGTGAATAGTGTAATTTAGGACGGGGGAGATACCCTTTAGGAAGAAGGAAGCTAAATACTTTGGAGTGGTCTGATTTTGCCATTTGTATCTCATTGGGTTTCTTTTCAAAATATGGCCAAAAAGCAGAAGGGGAAAGAGGACTCTATCTGTATTTCTTTTTTAGAGAATCCAGTCACTTGATAAAGTTGATTGTTTCCTCATCTTTAAGGAAATTAAGCCATACCAGGCATAAATGACTTTCTTTTGTGCAAGGATAAAATTTGAGAAGAACTAAGCATTTGTGGGCCATATTTTAAATTCAAAGTGTTAATAGCATTATGGAGTTTTGTGGAAAACGTTCTAGCTGGAATCAACATTACTGAGAAAATCGACACTGATTTTTAGCCATTATAATACTAATATTTGCAAACTTACAACTTTCTTGTCTAAATCCTTAATGCTGTGTAGTGCTTTTGAATTCACAAAGTTCAATCACAGTATTTTAGTTTCCAAAAACCTAATGAGGTAGGCTTTATTATTACCAAATTAGAGAAATGAGAAACCGGTCCAGCCAAAGGCAATATACCCACAAATACAAGAGTTAGCTTCAGAGCTCAGGTTAGAATCTGTAATCTCATTCTATATAAAATTTATGGAGTACTTCTGGTACAAAGCACTGTGTTAGGAACAAAGGACCCATTTTGATTTTAGCAAAATCACATTGGTAGCCATAAGGAGAAAGGACATGTAGGGACTGAGACCAGTTGCAGTAGTTCGGTAGAGCAGTATCTGCATGAGCGTAGGCATTGGCGAAGAGGCGGGTATGAGAAACTGATAATCCTTGTTAGTTGGATAATAGTGGCTGAGAGTGAGGTTTCTTTTTATTGCAAACTATTTATTTATATATATAATTAAAATGTCAGTGGGCTATAATCCAGGTTTGGACATGACCTGCACATAAAACATGTTGCCATACCATTTAGACACAAAGCCCTATTAAAGATATTTAAAAGTATCTACAGCTATCTGAATGAAAAGTCAAAATTTTGACTAATTGAAACCACAGCTGGACTTCGGTGTCACTGGTGGTATTTTGGGTTTTAGCCTTTTGTGTCCATACTGAACTGCTTCCCTACTTAGTACAGAAGTTCCAGACATTCTTACCAAAAAAAGTGTTAAATTCCCAGCAAGAGGTTTGGACGTTTCATTATATTCTAAAGCTTTCTCTCTTCTCATTACAAAGTTTTCCCAATTTGAAGCATTGCATTGCATTGTAAAAAAAAAAAAAAAAAAAAAAAAAACCCAAAAACCAAGAAGCATTTGTATGTCCAGTCCACGGAGAAGGGCGTCTGCCTGTTTTCATTGACTGAAATGACGCCTGGTACATAAGACGCACTCTACAATCCTGATTGTTGATGATGAACTGAATTTTTCACCTCTGGTTTGAGAGTGATCCTCCAGAGGCTTGTGTTTTCAGTTATATGGGCCAATAAATCTTGACAATTTAAACCAGTTTGAGTTCAGTTTTCTGTCATTTTCTATCAAAAACATCCTAATTGATGTGAAGCTCTTTTTACTCCTTGGTTTCTCGCAAGGCCCCACGCTGTCCTGGTTCTCTTCTCCATCTCTGCTCTAGCTTCTTCCTTGCCAGTTGCCCAGAACGCCAAAGTTCTCTACCCTGGTTCTCGACGATTTCAGCGGAGTTCACAGCTACCACAATTAGTAACTCTGAGGGCTCCCTATACTGTATGGCTTGCCAGAATGTTCTTGTAAAACCCTAGATTTCTGTATCCAGTTGTACATCTCAGCTTGAGTCTCAGGCCCCTCACATACTGTATGTGCAAAACCGAACACACTGTGTCAATACCCATGCCACCCACCCCTGCATTCAGTTTCTGGTTAATAGCATCACCATCAACTCAAAAACCTGCCCTCTGCCTCATTTCCCATCACATGGATTTAGTTACTAAATCCTAAAGGTTCCCTCCACTCGCTCTCACACACGTACTAATCCAGCTCTCATGAATCATTTCTAATTCCCCAGATATGCTAGTTTCATATTTCCGTGTATTCACTTGTGCCGTTTGCTTGGCCTGGCCTTTTTCCTTACTGAACTCCCTCTTACCCTCCAAGATGAGAGTCCCAAGGATGCTCTCTCTTACACACCTTGCTCAGTTTCTCCCTGTATCTGCGCCCGTCCATGGCTTTTCCCTGTGCTCAGTACTAAATAGCCAACATTCGCTGAGTGCTTACCGAAACCACTAACCGAAGGGGTAATGGATCTAAGTGCAGCTGCAACTTTTTACTGAGGCTTTTTTCAGATGCCTTTGCATTTCCCTGATACTCCTTTAAGAGGTGGATTTGAGGCTTGCCCTGCGGCTTCCTTGTTTGGCTGCCTGGAATAAACCCTTTCCTTGCTGCATACTTGTCTTAGTAATTGTCTTTGCTGTGAATCGGGCGGATGAACTTGGATCTGGTTACGTTATTATGTGCCAGGCATTGTTCTTGGTGCTTTACATGTATTAACTCATTTAATTTGATGATGTAGGTGTGAGTACTAGCCCTACGTCCCCGGGGGAAGAAAACAGGTACAGAGAGGTTAAGTGATTTGCTCCGTGTGGTGGAGCTGGGAAAGCAGACAGTCTGGCTCCAGACCCAGTGGGCCCCCTCACTGCACTGGAACGCAGGAAGGAGCACCCAAATGAAGCCATGGATTGATTTACTAATTTGTATGGTATTTCGTTCAAAGGATGTCTGACCCCTACAGGACGCTCAGAATACAAATATTTAGAGAACTAATGAATCCACAACTGGTTCACTAACCAGAGGCGTTGCATTTATTTGTTTAATGCTATGGAGGACATAGTCCATGCATAAGTGTTTTAGGAAGATTGATTGATGCATACCTCAGTGACTCAGTATCTTATTTATCGCATATTTGGAATATTTTTCATTGGAAGCCTGAAAGCAATAGAGATGAGAATATGCCCCTCTCCCTCCAAAAATACATTTTAGCTTTTCACTTGTTTTTCAAAGTCTACAGTTTTTTTAAAGCAAAGTGAAATAGCCTGAAGTCATAAATTTTGCCTCAAATTTCCCTGG